AGATTGTCCCTTAGGATTCTAACTCTAACCACCAATTCGTACAGTGTAGTCGGGTCATGAGAGACATTGATTCTCTTACAGTCAGTCACTTGGGTTGAGGTCATCCTGAGTCAGCTTTCTTTAGGGTTATAACTCTTTTACTACTTTAACCACCGAGTCACATAGTGTTCAGGCTATGAGAGGCTTTCATCTCTCTCTCTTTCTTTCTCTCTCTCTCTCTCTCTCTCTCTCTCTCTCTCTCTCTCTCACTTTCTTCTACCCCTTGATCACTTTTAGGGGGCTCTTTAGGTTAGTAACATAGTTATAGGCTCAGTCCTGTAACTCCACTTTTCAAATCCTCTGGGTACTAAAGCTTCAAGCCTGGTGTCTTTCCTTGTCTATGATAATACCTCTTATGAGACGTTACTCCGAGAGGCTGCCCAATTTTCTCTAGGTCATCCCTTCACTTCTTTTAACTTTGTCTTCTTCATCCTCTTATTCTTCTCACTTATAAACTAAATCCTCATCAAGTTCTTGTTCTTATTATTTTCTTTCTCTTCTCTCATACTTATCTCTCTATTACTCTACCCTCAAAACTAGAGTCATTAATCCATAAAGCACATTAGAGAGGAGTTAACATTGATTGGATTTCATTAACAATTTTTTAGTAAGAGTGCAAGTGAGGTGTCGAGTTTAGAGGGGGGCGCATTCAAACCACACTGCTTGACAGCCGGAGGGCTTTCACTCATTAATCTAAGAGGGCAGTAGCCCCGGCTTATCCCACGAACTCAAACCATGGTGAGGTAGGTATTCGAGTCCATATATTCATCGCTTTAAAATCCTCTCATAGTTGGACTTACCTATCCACACACGATACATGAGTTGCACATGTGCTCGTGAGACCAAGAGGTTGTTCGAGAGGAAGTCAATCGACCCGGGTCCTTGAGGGAGCCCGAGGGAGGTAGATCCAGGCCCGACCAGTTACATCAAAGATTTTGGAATGTAGAGTTACAACTCTAAACCTCGACAAAACCCAGTCGAGTGAACACTTTTAAACCACTCTCCATTCCTTCTATTTACGTCTGGCAACTATTACCAACAACACCAAATAGAGACGTGAGAGTAACGAGAAACTGACTTTTTCTCTAACTAAAAGGGGAAACAATCCAAAATCTCTATAGGAACCACTTCTCTACAAAAAAACAAGTTTCTCAATCTTCGGGAGTCTGCACTACTTCTCTACAATAAATAAACCTCTCAATCTTCGGGAGTCGACAACAGACATCATCACAATGTTTCTTTACATAGAAAAATTTCTTCTCTCTAGGATACCTTCATCGCATGCACATGAGGCATTGCCCCGCTCTCCCATTAGAGGAAACCATATTTCCCATATGATCCAAATAGGGCACACAAATTCTCTACACTTTCATCCCATATATAAGGTTCAGAATCCATACTAAATAAGAAACTTCATATTGATGTTACATATATCTCAAAAACCAAGAGATATATCCAAGAGTCCTAATCCTTTTAGATTTCTATTTCATTAGGAAACTTATCAGTATCAATTTGAATCCCACATAATATAAGAATATCTTAATCCCACATAATATGAGATTTATTTATGTGGGTGATTTTGGATAGCACCAAATGCAACACATAGTATACATGCTCTTATGATTTTATACATAAGAATTAAAATGCATGGTTTTCTCTATCTCTTAGTTTTGCGTATCGACAAATCACTGACCCAAATGAGAATCATGCAACCGGATCGGGATAGCTAGGTAGGCCTTTTCAGTCTGATGAACCTCAAGGGCACTGTGATTTTTTCCTTATTTTCATGTATAATATATGGTTGATTAGACTCCGAACTGAGGAGAATCAAAATCAAATCTCTGATTGAAGGGTTGATTTGACTTTTAAAACAATGGTATTGAAGGAGAAAACAGGAAGGCAGGCTTTCTTAGGTTGATGAACACTGAAATCACCTTAGTTGTATTTTTTAAAAAAAGTTTCTTTGTAATATATGGTCAATCTACCATCAAATCCAGGGAATCATAATCGGATCTCTAGTGACTTGAGGGGCCGATTTGACCTTTATAATTGTATAAAATTCCAAGACCTACAGTTTATTAAATGCCAAATTAAAAATTTTAAGAGTCAATTTGCTAAAGTGGTCCCGGAACTCCTATTATATTTATCAAAAATAAGAAATAAAAAATGTTTAAATCTATTTCTTGCTGGATGACTTCTTGATAGTATCTTTTTTTCAGTTCCGTACGTTTGTTTGTCACTTCAAGCTCGAATTTTTCAACTGCCAATTTGTATTCTGTCGTCTATCTGTATCAGCATAAGGAATAAAGGAATGAGAGAGTATAAATAAGAGAATATATTAAGAAAGACTAATTTTTATGGCCATGTCATTCTGTTAGTAAGGTAGTGGTTGCGTATTGAAGAAATGAATGACAAAGAAACATTAAATATCGTTCAACAATTGAGATTTTATTTAATTACCTTTTATGCATGATGATTAGCAATGTAAATAATGCTCAACGCAACAAAAGCAATTGAAATACAAGAACTAAAGTTTGTTGACGTGTTGCATAGATAATGACTTCTAACATAGAAGAAATAATGTATATGGTTTTTATAATAACAGTTCTCATGAAATAGATTATTAACTGACTTGCAAATAAAAGACATAAAATAGAAAGCCAATGCAACTTAGATTATAAAAAATTTGTACCGCAAAGACAATTATAAATAGAAATTTCGATATTGTAAAACTATGAAATTCTCATTAATTTGTGCACAGGTAGAAATGGACATAATACCAAAAAATTCCATTCAAACGTTTTACATGGGAATGTTTAAATCAATCAGGAAATTGATTTCATAAGAAGCTATGAATGACGGTAAGAAATATTAGGTGGAACCGTAAAAATGTCACTAAACATAAACAAGAAATATAAGTGCAAAAAAACTAATAGAAATATATTGAGCAAAATTTTATTAAGGAATTAAGTGTAATACTATTAAAAAAGTATGTATTTCACCCAAGAAAACGGATTACTTATCGTAAATCACATTGTAACTATTTCAATTTTACTGAAGTTATCATGTAGACCATAATGATTGTTGAGTTTGAGTTAACTGAGTTTAGAAGCATTCATTAGTGATTCGAGTCGAATAGCGATTTTACAAAAGGTAATAGTATGGAGTTTTTGGGACAAGATGTAAGATACAATGGAATAGTACAATGATTGACACATCCTTAAAGAGGAATTGAGATCTAAGAATTTCCCCGAAGTATAAGTCTTATTGCACCTTCTATTGACCATTATCAACATGTATATATAATATAAAGATGCTGAGGAAAAATCACTTCTATTGACCACAACATGTATATATAATACAATCAGCACAATAAGATAAGTTACAATAAGTAACTTACTATATATGATATATATAAAATAAATACAAGATCTTCAATTATATCTACAATGTCTATGAAAAAATTGGAAAATAAGTAACATGCAAGTAACCCACTTGAATAGAACAACCTGCATAATATTATTTTAGTATTTATAGTGCTTGCTAATTGTTTCTAATACGTGATGCATGTATTCATTTAGGTGTACTTGCATAAAAGTGATGCCTCATATAGGCTCTCGAATGTCCCAAGAAATGAATACATCATCATGTGCAATGCAATTGAGTAGTACAAATTCTAGTTGAAATTTTAAAATTGAATCTATCACAAGGGAGTGCAGTTCTCTTTGTAAAGGGATGTTCAATGAAGCAGAAGAAACTTATTAGAATGATCAAGGTGAAAATGAAAAGAGAATTGCATTATACATCAAGAATTCGATATATCATAGCACAGTTGAGTGTAACATATATGCAATGCAGTCCACACTATGTTAGATTATATTAGACATGTTGCAACATTATTAAAATGGATAGAGAACTTACTGAGTTTTCTTTTATTATTGGTTAAAGGCAGGATGTTAAACATCTTGTTTGTTTTTTTTCCCCCCGAGATTGCTTTCTTTGAAATAAGCATCTTACTCTCTCCCACAATCGCTTCATCTTTGTCTTCAGTTTCATCATTTGTTTATGCGTCTTTAGGAGTAGAAGTAGAGGCAGAATCTAACATCTTTTGATATCTCCATTGTACAACGAATTTGTTTTTTATGACTATATAATCAGCTCTTAAAAAAAAAATTTCTGAAATTTCAACAAATATTGGCCATGTAATTTTCTTTTGGGGCTAAATAGAATTCTGAAAGAGCATAAAAGTTACTATCAAAATTACTGTAATAAACACTTCTCCAAGACTCTATTATGGGTAAGGATAAGCTTCGGTATGAACCCACTTTTTTCTTTCAATTTTTTCTTTTGGGTGAAACACAAGAAGTTCATGAAACCATTCATGGAATAATTAAGTCTATTTCCCATACAAATGAATATTTATTCTAATGGGGTAAAAACTTGATTTCGAGTAGAGATCTATCGAAACCAATTGTTTTGGTCTTTTGGGGTAAGTGATGTTATCATAAAGCCAAGTACGTTTCATTGCGGTAAAGAAACCATAAGTAAGCTCAAGCGAATATCCTAACCCTCTTTTATAGGCAAAAACTCATTAGAATAATCACCACAAAATATACGCTCTCCAACACCTCAATGGTGGATAGAGCAGCATCAAGCTTTACCCTTTTTTTAATGATCAATGAGCTTATTCCAACTGACACTCTTAATGATATCAGGTATTACTATGCTATATATAATTGAAAAGTTCATAACATACAACAAATGAAATGCAAGAATCAAACGTTAGAACTTATTTATAACAATGACATGTATTTATAGCAGGGGTATAGATTTTTTATTCTAAATAAATAAATAAATACTTAAAAAAAAAAAAAAAAAAGGAGGAGGGAAATTTGTTTTTGCCAAAGAAGTATCGTCACCAAAAAAAATCGATAGGGTTAAGCTACAAATTACTTTTTTAAACTTCAAACCCTAAATATCCGTCAGTTGAACTCCTAACATATGACCACCAACTTGGAAATCATTGCCATCTCACTTCTTCCCCATTTACACCACCACCAATGATACCTCTCTAGCCCCTGATGGCCCTCCTGAAATCATGCAAAACCCCGGAAGCCCTACGCCAAACCCACGCCCACCTGCTCGTGACCCAGAGCCTCGACCCTGTGTGCGAGGCCCAACTCGTGGCCTCATACGCGGGCGTATTAGGCCTCGCGCACGCGCGCCAAGCCTTTCTCTCTCTGCCCCACAAGGCCCTCGCCTCATGGAACGCGCTCTTGGTCGCGTGCATAGGCCATGGCCAGGCGCGCGAGGCCTTGGACCTATACGCTCGCGCACTTGCCCGTAGCTTGAGGCCTGATAGCTCCACCTACACGCTTGCCCTGAAGGCTTGTACGCGCCTCTTGGCCCATGAAACGGGACTCATGGTGCATGCGCGCGTTGCTAAGTGTGGCCATGTGCGTGACGTCTTTGTTGGCTCCGGTCTCCTCAACCTCTATGCGAAGTGCAGTCGACTCTGTGAAGCGCGCAGAGTGTTTGACGAAATGACGAAGAGAGATCTCGTGTCTTGGACTTCTATGGTTACTGGGTATTCACAAAATGGGTTTGGAAATGAAGCTTTTGCTGTATTTCGGGAAATGGAATATGAAGGAGTGAGGGCTGATTCAGTGGTTATGGTGGGCTTGGTTCAAGCTTGCACAAACTTGGGTGTTGTGAAATTGGGTTCGTCGATTCACGGGTACGTTATAAGGAGAGACATAAAGGTTGATGTGGTCTTAGAGACAAGTTTGGTGGATTTGTATGTGAAATTCGGGTTCTTGGAGCGTGCTCAAAGAATGTTCGATAGAATGGATGATAGAAATTTGGTTTCATGGAGTGCAATGGTTTCAGGCTATGCACAAAATGGGTTTGCAGCAGATGCTATATCATTCTTCATAGAAATGCAAGAGGAGGGGTTCTCACCTGATGTGGTGGCACTTGTGAGTGTTCTTTTGGCTTGCTCACACCTCGGGCTTTTGCACCATGGCAAGTCTGTGCATTGCTTTGTCATGAAAACCTTAGAATTCGATGTGGTTTCAGGCACCGCTCTTGTGGACATGTATGCCAAATGTGGTAGTCTTGGAAAAGCTCACGTTTTGTTTGACCAGATTAGCTCAAGGGATGCCATTGCTTGGAATGCCATGATCTCAAGTTATGGTATGCATGGTAATGGTGAGGCTGCTCTTTCTCTATTTACTCAAATGCTAGAGACACCCAGTAAGCCCGACCATGCCACCTTTGCTTCTTTGTTATCGGCATGCAGCCATGCAGGCTTGGTGGAAGAGGGCATGATTTGGTTTGACAGGATGGTGAGAGAGTTTCACATATCACCATATGAGAAGCATTATGCATGCTTGGTTGATCTACTCGCTCGTGCTGGCCAGCTTGAAAAAGCCTACAATATTATCCAGTCAATGGAGTTTGAGCCTGGGATAAGTGTGTGGGGTGCGTTGCTTGCAGGGTGTCGGAACTATAAGGAAACCAAATTAGGGGTGTTGATAGCTAAAATTGTTTGTGACCTAAAACCTGATGATCCGGGCATGTATGCCTTGGCTTCAAATGTTTTCGCTATGGCCAAAAGGTGATGTTATTGCATGCTTTTTTTATCTTGTATACTTTCCACATTTATTATTGAGCATAGATATGAAAAGTGCTTTGTGCGACAGTGAACGCATGCATCCTCTTTGCTCTTCCTTAGAGGTAGGACTCAAAGCACATTCCAAATCTTTGCATATCCATTTCTGCCTGAAACCCTTCAAAAATCATGCAAATCTGATGATATTTGAAGAATTGAATTTAATGGTCCAAAAAAAGGGGTACAAGATGCTTTTTCTCTTATCAATACAAATGTTAACAATCTCAAAAAAAAGGGTACAAGATGTACCATATTTAGACTCAAATTCCCCCCTCCCCGCCTTTTTTTTAATCAGATTCATGATTGGGGAGGTTGATTATAGATTTTCTATCCATCTCCAAGATGTCTTTTGAAGGGTGGATGCATGAGTGGGCAGATGCCTACTACCTTACCCAATTGATAATATAGCTTTTAACTAGTATGAGATTTAGTGTGGTATTTATGTGGATGCATATGCATCAAGAAGCTCTAAACCGTGCCACGAACATTGATATACAGGACGATTTGAAAATATGGTGGCTAATGTCTATTCATGATGTCAATTTATTATATCAGCCAAAGAAGCAGCAGCGATGGCAATCGATTAGCACTTGTTTTGGAGTTTTGATTTATAGTTTTTTGGCTTTTTGTTGGATCGACTTGTTTTTCTAGGTTGCTGTGACTCACCGTAACCTCTTAAAAGAGGATTTTGATTCCGTGTTTTGGCTTTCTCCTTGAGCATCCTTCTTTTGTGGATTGCCAAGATCTTGTCCTTATCTTCTCTTCAATTAAAGGTTAACACATTCAAAAAAATGTATATATATCTTCTAGTTGTATCTTTGTTGTAAATAGCTTGAGACTTGGACTCTCATAAGTCATAATGGTTCATATCCTCATGTGTTTTACTTGTTCATTCGTTCTAATCAGGTGGGAAGAGGTGGCAGAGGTGAGGGCAATAACGAAGAAGATGGGGATGAAGAAAACCCCGGGGTACAGCGTAGTGGAGATTAAGGGAAAGCTACATGGATTTCTAGTGGAGGACAAGACCCACCCTCAATACGAAATGATCAAGAAGGAATTGGGGAGGTTGGATTCCGAGATGAGGGCAGTTGGTTATATGCCAGACACTGCATCAGTGCTACATGACGTAGCAGAGGATGTAAAAGAAAACATGTTATGCAACCATAGTGAGAGACTGGCTATAGCATTTGCACTTTTGAACACATGCGCTGGGTCTAGAATCCGAGTCACCAAGAACCTTCGGGTTTGTGGAGATTGCCATGTTGCTACAAAGTTGATATCGAAAATTGTGGGTAGAGAGATCATTGTGAGAGATGTGAAGAGGTTTCACCATTTCAAGGATGGTGCGTGCTCTTGTGGAGATTATTGGTGAAAACATAGAACAAATTTTTTAAGGGAAAAGAGTGTTTGTTGCACCAAAGCAAATGGATGCAAGCTACTGGTAATGTTTCCTGATAGCCTTTCGATGCTATACAATGTTTTTATCTTTGTGATCATATTAGATTCCAAGTGGTGAAATGGTTGTTCAAATTTCAGAAGTGATGTGGTTTCTCTAACATAGGATTGCAATGTCCATGTCCATCCAAATGGAGAGTGTCAGATATCCTAGCAGAGGCAAAGGATTGGTGTAAACAATGAAAAAGAGGAGTGCACATGAACTTCAATGAGCCAATGGAGATGCCAATCGGTTGGCTAAGCATTATCAGTATGGATGTAATTCTTTTCTTTGTTTTCTTTCATTCTTTTTGGGTTGTCCCAAGCAACGTGCATTTATTTATGTATTTTTTTTAGGTTCTGTAGGCAGGTGGGTATTGGGACCCTTGAAATCACATTGTGGTAAACATGTATCTATTTCATTTTTTTTACTTTTAATTAATTTATTTATTTTGCTGTCTTTACTTAATAACAATCACTTGAACTAATGATTGGTTTATCCAAATATTTCAGTCAAATATAATCTAGGCGCTTGAAGACAGCCTGTATTTGATGAAAATATTCCTTCTCACACCAAAATGTCTCCTTCTGACAAACCTGATGCGAGGTCCATTCCATGGAAGACATGCTTGCAAAACCCCATTCGCAGCACCTCTGCCACTGGAGTGAGGGTCTCTGTTTCCTCTGCTGCTCTTGCTCTTTCTCAAGTGACAAAGCACATTTTTTTACCACTCCTCCTTGCAGTCCGGTAATTTCTTTTCACATATACATGATACAAAGTCAACTTGTCTCCCAAAAAAAAAGGAAAAAAAAGGTATGATCTAGAGGCATCAATGGTTTATGAATACATTTGTCTCAAAAAGTGCATGTGGAATATGGCCATCAAAGTGCTCAAATATTTGGGAGGTTCAGATTCCTCTTCCATGATTTATTTTTCAAATTTGGCTAGTTTGAAGCATGTAATGAGGAATCTAATGATCTATTCTTGGATATTTTGCTGGTAAGTACTTCACTAGTTATATTCTATGAATTAAGATTAATAGCCACATATTCTGTACATTTAGAAATTTAGAAGCAATTATAACACTATGAATAAGATGGGTTAAATACCTTTCAATAAATTTTTTGAATAAGTTCACATAATGACTTAAATTACATTTGCAATATATGCAAAATGTGTCAACTTCTTCTCTCTCCCTCTCTCTCCAAGGGCAGGGAGACAACTGCAGATATTGCCGTGCCACCCATCTTTTGTAGGTAGTGTGGATGAATGCTTCAAATCTCAAGAGACCCAACTCCTCGCTTGTTTTAGCGTGTCCCTTTCTCCTGCTCTCATTGCACTAAGGAGATCCCTCCATATGAAAATCTTAAGCGACTCTAATTTTACTTACCCCCGCTTCAAAGTTCAAATCCATTTTCTTTGAATTTCGCTTGCCCAAATATACTCTCCAGCATGCAGTATATGTTCTCTGACTCCGGGTGAGAAGTATTGCCAACATAAAACACATGAACTCTGCAATTCACTTCAATATAACTGCACCCTGGTGTTTTGCTCCTGACCACTCTCTCTCTCATGCTCTTTCTCACTCTAGAAACATCACGCCATCTCCCAGAAGCAGCATATGCATTAGCCAAGAGCACATAATACTCTCTATCACATGAATCCAACTCAACCAACTTTCTAAAAGCCATCTCTGCAACTCCAATAGCCCCACAGTTTCTACAGGCTGAAAGCAAAGCACCCCACATGGAAGCATCTGGTGCATGAGGCATCCTCTCAATGATTACGACTGCCTCATTTGTGAGCCCTGCTCGCCCTAGAAGGTCCACCATGCACGCATAATGCTTTGGACATGGCATGATCCCATACACATCAACCATCTTTTGGAAACAATGTAAACCTTCTTCTATTAAACCCGAGTGCGAACATGCAGATATAACATTTAGAAAAACGACCCCATCTGGTTCAATCCCCTCCAGTTCCATCTCTTTGAAGAGCTTGATGGCTTCCTTTCCATAACCATGCATCCCATATGCACTGATCATTGCGGTGCATGAGATAACGTTTCTCTTACTAACTTCTTTGAAGGCCAATAGCGAACTCTCTAAGCACCCACACTTTGCATACATGTCAATTAGGGCAGACCCCAGCAGGGAGTGAGACACGAGCCCGTATTTGGTCGCATAGGCATGGACCCGACTCCCATGGTGCACCGAGCCTAAGTGTGCACTGGCTTGGAGCACACACGCCACCATTACATGATCTGGATCTAAACCTGACGAGCCCAACATTGTATAAAAGAGGTCTAAAGCTTCAAAAGCATGGCCATTTTCTGAATACCCATTGATCATGGATCCCCAAGTGATTATGTTCTTGAGAGGAACTTGATTGAAAAGCTCTCGAGAGGACAGTAGGTCTCCACATTTTGCGTATGCATCAATTAGCGTAGTTACGACAAGGTGAAATGAACCCAGGCCTGATTTGAGCACCAACCCATGAACCCACTTGCAAAGCTTGACTGACCCTTTAAAAGCAGGGATCAAACCCAAAATGGTTACTTCATTATATTCACAATCAGGGGCTGATCTCATTTTCTGAAACATTCTTAGAGCTTTATTGGAGTCCCCAAGCTCACTGTAACCTGCAATCATAGCACTCCAAGTGACCACATCTTTCTGAGGCATCTCATCGAATACCTTGTATGCAGCGTCCATATCCCCTGACTTTGCATAGAAATCCAACAAGGCTGTTGCTATATAGACATTGCTTTCCAGCCCAAGCTCCAGAGCGGTTTTGTGAAGCTTCTTGCCCTCTCTAGTGGCACACAACCCAGTTTGCGGATTGCTTTGTGAAGGCTTTTCACCATCACTAATGGCCGATAATCTCAGTTGCAGAGCGGTTTTGTGAAGCTTCTCCCCCTCACTAATGTCCGATAAACCAAGTTGTAGAGGAGTTTGTTTAAGCTTCTCACCATCACTAATGACCGACCATTGATGAATCTTCTGACCCTCTTTGGTGGCCGACAACCCAAGTCGTAGATTGCTCTGTTGAAGCTTATCCTCCTCAATAATGTCGGCTAGCTCAAATTTCCAATCAGTTCGCTGAAGCTTCTTTCCATTGTTGATGGCCGAAAGGGCAGCACAGGACTTGAGAACAAAAGGAAGGGTGAAGTGATCAGGAAGAACGCCTTTTCGTCGCATCTGCAGATAGAGTTGCAGAGCTTGGGGCCATAGCTCAAAGTGGGTATGAGCTCTGATAATGGCGTTGCAGAGAAAGATGTCCGGTTTAGAGTGAGAGTTGAAAAGAAGGCGAGCATCGCAAACGCGACCAGCTTTTGCATAGGATTTGAGGAGATGGGTGGCCAAGAAGGCGTTGTCTGAGAGGCCATGAATGACGACCTGAGCGTGGATTTGTTCAACTGTGGATGAAGGCGGGAAGCCACGGAGAAGGTTGTAACATACAGATGCCTTGCGACAAAAGAATGGATGCTCCCGCTGGAGCATGTCAGACCCTCCCTGGACCAGTTAACTCATCTACTCACTACTCCTTTAGGACCCTAACTTTTTGACTTAACCTCCTCAAGTGCATGGAACCAGTGTAGGAAAGCAGGACTCAGTCCCAGAACCCGCCACAGGGACGGGCCAAATTACTTGGCCCAAGTTGGGCAGCAGGTCTTGACCAGGCTAAAAAGTGTTAAAAAATAAAAAATACAAAACGATCCCAAGAAATATAAAAAATATGTTTAGAAGTAAAATTAAACAAAACACATCTAACTGATATTAAGAATATATGGAAAAAATGGATTCTGAAAAATTAACTTGTGACTTTTTAAAATAATCCAAAAAAAATATAAAAATAATTATTCATAACATTTGCCAAAATGATGGAAACTATAAAAGAACATATTACAAATAAATTTTTTTTATTTTATGGATTTTTTAACTTCTTTTAAGATTGCGAGCTTGATCACCGAAACTTGGATACTCGGGCGAGTCTGGATTCGCTTGCAGTAGTCAAGCACTAATGGTTTCTTTTCGATGCTAACATGTATCTATTTTATATCTACATTGAAATACAAGTTCTCTGGCCTGACTGCTGAAATAAAATTGCAGGTAGGTGATACCCAAATCCTAAAAATGTATTTATAATCAACTCCTAACCCTGTGACAGTATTGAACAATTCATCGACATATTGATACAAACAAGTTCGATTGGGTGCGGCATGTGGACGACATTGGGTGCAGCATGTGGACGACATGGACAGCACAAATTTAAAAGGAGTTCTGTTAAGCATGTAGACGACAGTTGAGTGTGCATGCCGAGAGAGAACTAAAATATATGTACACCCGCGAAGGCAACCCACAATTTTCTCAAATGCAATAAGACAGCGTCGGCGCACAGGGTCACAAGCAAAACCTAACAACAATGATGCATTATATTTGTGAATATTTTAAGATGTGACAACCTCTAACAAATTAGATAGTTAGGATAGGGTTCCAATGATGATAATTGTACAACTCAGTGGGCCGAAGGTCAATTGATCATTTTATATCAAAAGCAAACGGTCCTATTAAAACGTCCTATTAACACGTAATCAAACCGTTTACTTTTTGTAAAAGAAAATCACAACTATTTCTATTCATTAGATGACCTAAAAATGGCTAAAAGTGCATCACGAAGTTCAAAAAATTGTTTTTATATTATATATTCTTGAGCACCCTCCTACAACTCTTTTACAACTTGAATACAAGGGAGAATATGCCATTAAACCATTTAACTTTGGTACGACTATGCTTAACAGAAAATGCAATTTACCGCACTTAGAAGTTTAATTCTTTCTTTTTTCCCTCGACACACATCCAACACCCAAATTCGCATCTAATAACTAGGGATGATTGTGAACTTTTTGTATCAAAGACAAACGGTCTCATAATAAGCATATTGTAACTTGTCCTTTGTTTTTGTTTTGGTAAATGTATATAATAATGGTTTCTAAAAACCTTTAAAAAATGAGTCAAATGCACTTCTGGATACAATAGTCAAGTACCAACCTAACCAATAATCTCAACTCCAAAATGATACCAAAACACAACAGCACACCGCTTCTCATTGTGACTCTGAAAAAGAAGCATGGATACCAAAAAGGAAGCATAAATACCTTTAAATACCAAAAGACTAGCAAGCAAATTCATTATGGGCATGCATTAATTATTATCCAATGTACACAGCTTCCTTTTTCCTCTACATAGAGCCAAGCTCTGCCAAATTCCTACCTTTCTCAGGTTTCTTTCCCATATCTTTAGCAAAGAATTACTCTTCATACTTTTACAAATAAAGTTACTTTTTTAGGCAATACATTATCCTTAACTCTTTTTCTGATAAATAAGAAACCCTGGCCAAATGCTTACCCACCCACACTAACCTCTCTGTTAAAAGGTGGCCTCCATTTTCGATCTACGCACCCCTCAGTGAAAGAACATGAAGAAGAAGAAGCAGTAGAAGACTGCATGTTCAGCTTTTGATCTATGAGTTTGAGCAACTCCTGCAACCCCAATCCCATTACAGCAGATGCCTCTATATGTTGAATATTTTTAGGCTCTACCTGTGCTTCTTCCGAGAAGCTACCGACCTTATCATCCTCTTCTGATTTGGCTTCATCGGAATCCGTAGTTGCATGAGATGCAAGTTCAGATGCTTCATTATCTGGTTGTTCCCCTTCATCCTCTTGTAATTTAGCATAATGGCAATCCATGAGCTCAGATACTTCATCATGCTGCTCTTCTTGTTCTTCTACAACTTCACCATCACCTTCATCTTCTCCTTGATCTTCACAATCATTAGATCCACTCTTCTCATGCAAAAGATCAATCTGAGAAAGTACCAAATTGAATCATTTTGGTGTCACATAATGTGGAAGAGAATCAAGAGAACGAATTATGACAAGGAAAATAAGAATCAAGCAAGATATACCTTGTTCCAAACTTCAATCATATTTTGGAGCTTTACTTCGGGGACTCCTATCTGCTGCAGGACCTGCAGAACAGCAGCTCGCTGCTCTTCGAGGTTCATAGCACTCGAGTCCAGCACATGCTGCCAATTGTGAAAGCAGAAGCAATCTTTTTTACACATTTCTAATCCAACCCAACCTTACCCCCAATTGCATGCATGTGCACATGCACACGTGCAGATGCTTTGCACACACACACACTTCTAAATGTTTAGTTAGAATTCATGTGAAATTTAGATTATCAAGTTTTCCCATTTTATGAATAATCAGATTCTTCCAAACTAGATTCACACATCAAACATGTCTCGAGCATTTGAAATTTCTAAAATTCTATTTCATCTTTTTCTCTCTTTGTTTTTTAATATGATGACTGTATTAAACTTAAAGTGAGTACAGAATGTGTGTAAAGAGGGGGGCAGGATACCCACAGACGGGCTCCGCCCGAAACATAGGCTACCCACAAACCATGGGTAGATCAAAAATGCTTTACATGAATTGAATCATTAAGGATATCAAAATTGAATCATTAAGGATATCAATTCCAATTAGAGATAGGAAACCAAGAAAAAAATCCCCTAGGGGTAGCTCAGGTTGGCATGAGACAAGGTTGCAGCTGCCTTTGCTAGGGAATCAGCCTCAGCATTTGCTTCTCTCCAAACGCAATTCCACGAGATTTGTAGATTCCTTGTGAGTTGACTGTTCTCTTCGAAGATACTGTCGAGCCTCCAAGGCCAAGAGGGAGTGCCTGGGGTCAAGGCTATAACACTATAAGAGTCACCTTCGATAGTTATTGCAGTGTCTAATTTTCTAAGGCCTTCCCGGAGGGCTGAAGCCTCTACAATTGTTGAATCTGAGACACTAATGGGAATAGAAAAGGAGCAAAGGATATTGCTGTTGTGGTCGCGGAACAAGCCACCTATGCCTGCAAGGCCAGGATTTCCAAGAGAACACCGGTCAAAGTTAAGTTTGATGGGGCCTACTTCAGGTGGTCTCCAAAGGGAAAGCGTGGGGGCCTCTGAGGTTTAAGGAAAGAATGGGAGTCCAACTGTGTAGAAAATCAGAGTGGCAAAGATTTCTGAAATGTTTGTGGTGGGTGGCCCAGAAGATGACAGCAGCTCTGATCTTTTCTACTAGTGCCGTCAACGAAGATATTTGGCTTCGAAATATTCTGATGTTTCTCTCAGTTCAGATTGTCTAAAGAGTGGCAGCCACCGAAGCCTGCAACAGCAATGTGCCGGCCTTAGGCCAGGGAGTTGAGAAAGTTGAACTGATGAGATGAGGGACATCAAGTGGAGTCACCCACTACCATTGGAATAACTAAGGGATGTCAGCCCAAATAGACGAGGTACTTGCAATGGACGAAGAGGTGACCATTGGGTTCCTCATCTTCAGTGCACATAATGCATCTGCTTGGGATTTAGAGTCCCTTTCTTTGTAATTGATCCATGGTGAGGGCTCTGTCGGACCCAGCTATCCAATTGAAAAATTGAATCCTGGGGGGGACCAAAGGCATCCAAATTTGTTTACAAAAGAAGTGGTACAGATGGGGGGGGGCTTTTTCTCTCTCTCTCTTTGTTTCTATGAAATCTTTTTCGAGTATTTGACAAACCATAACATTCTAGTTTTCCCCAATTGTAAGATTCTTTTCCACTCTCATATGAGGCAAACCCATTGTTTCAAGCTTCAGAGGATTTTATGCCCACAAGGAGAAATAGTAATACACCACACTGTCAAAAAGTAGATTTTTTTTTTAATGAAATGAAGAAGTAGGACAAGATTATGCCACGAAACTTCAAAATGATGCTAGTGGAACTATACCAAAGGACAGATAGCACTGGAGCAGGTTGAGTTTCATAGGGTTACAAAAGCAGGTTGGATATGTCTTTTTTTTCTTGAAAGTAGATTGGGTATGTCTCTCGCCCATTATGTTTCTAGCCAAAACTGGAAGTTCAACCAAGATCAGTTGGTCACGTGACATTTCTATGTACTGGCCTGTATGGCTGTAACAGTCCCAGGCAGTCTAATCGGGCAGTTTAGCGCTCTAAGCTTCATCTGTTGACAAATTTGCATTCAAGCTGTTAGGGATCATTCTGTGTTGTCCTTTAACTTGGATTCATGACAATAGGAAATGGGGCTACAAAGTGCAATAGCCATTGTCCACAAATACAAATCTAACACTTGAAGTTAAGCCCGAACTCCCTGAGACCCCTGTACCACCTCCAGACCAAATCTTCATCGGTTTTCTTTCCAAATAATATGACCGAAACATAGAATTTAGTAACCTCTGTTCTTTCCTTTCCTTCTCCACCACCCGAATCTTCCAAGAGATGCTAACTTTCATTAACAGTGACGTGGAAGCCACCAGCACCAAACTCATACGGCCTTATTCTCCACCCAGCCATGTTTCCCATTGCTAGCACTTGGGGTTACCTAAGGTTTCCTTTCCACTTTTTGGATAATTTGACCACTGCATAATTTTTGTTTCCCTAAATACTTCAACTTGGTTATAAACATGCCTGATCTCTTCATGATCTCTTCACTGGTTGCAAGGGACCACTTTGTCACAGCTAATGACTTCCTCTAAAAGATAGGGAAGATAGGATGTCTTGATACCCACATTTCCAGGAAAATTCGAAGAACATTTAAGTATGAGGAGATTAGTGTTTTGACTAGTCAACTGAAGGAAGTCTAGATTCGTAATAGAAATACTGACAACGACTTAAGCTTGCTGTTCTTGGGAAGTTTTTATTGCCAGATCCTTCTATAGAGCACTCACTGCTGAAATTCTGACAATGTTCCTCACTCCCCAGCAAAAGTTGCTTGGAGTACTCCTCAGCTTGGGTTCCAAATTTTCATATGGCTTCTTGGCATGGACAACATTCTGGTAGTTCACTGCCCTCACCATCATGGAATTTACCTCAATCCTATGAATTGGAGTCCACTGGTAACTCTTCGGTACCTTGTATTGTGGGTCATCACTAGTATCCCACGCAGATAACTCACCCTTTTGAAAATGTGCTCCCGAGTTATTTTCTGAGAAGTGAATAACAATATTTTAAGAGGTTGAAGAACGGGCCCCAAGTAATGAACATCATCAGAGACACCATATTCCATTGGGCCATGGTGAGAATAAAATTTAAAGATTTTAAAAGGAATCAATTCCTGATATATGGAAAAGTACTGCTTCCAGTGCACCTTTTTGCACAGAGACACATGATAGTACCAGAAGCCTGTACAAGATTCTACTGAGTTATATGTCGACAGATGTGCTATCAACATCCCAGGTCTGGCTTGAGTAGCCTTACTATCAGTATCACTATCAGCAAATACCATAAAGCATTAGTAATCTTTAGTTCTTTACACTATCAGTTATAGAAAACTAGTTGCATTCTTTCTTTTTGATAGTTCTTCCCTAGTTGTGTTAGACTGCTTTTAGTACAACGTAGATCGTATTTGAAGGGTTAATGTCTATGAATCTTGAACCTGCATGTTGCAAAAGAGTAGACAAGATGAAGACAGTATGCTCACTTTTTCTCGACACCTTGCGGCCTGAGAATCTTCCTATGGCCACTTTCACAGTATCCTCAGTAGTGAAAGCATAAAACGGAGGGATCTCACCTTTTTCCAAGGATGATATTTGTCTATAAATGTAAGATACATTTTCCTTCTGGATAGATGTATTATAATAGCAGTTTATAATTTTATATTAGGTTAATTTTCACTATGTAAATGAAACATCTACCAATGGTTAACACTTATTGAACAACTCTTCTTTTTTTTTTTCTCAATTCTCATTTATTGAACAGCTCACACAGATCCCTTAAAGCACAAATAAGAAATCAGTTGCATCAAGATCACAGCCTCTTAATGCAATGCAACCAGCGGCATACATTGCAACCCGGCAAACCCAAAATATTGGCATAAGAACCACAAAATGCTCAACACTTTAATTTTCAACCTTCTCTCAAAAATCTTAACCAATGATTAATAGGTAAACCACATTTTCTTACTTAATGTGATCAAAATTTGCATAGAGAAAGCAAAAATCACTTTCGTAGAATCATAGTTTGTAAACAAAAAGGTTACGGATACAACTCAAGCTGCAGTAACATACATACCACAAGAAGATCAGCTTCTACAACTTCTTCCAAGGTTGCATGAAAAGCTTCAACAAGCTGCAAAATACACAAACGTGTAATGCCAAGCAAAGGATTTGCAATGAAAAACTAGGATATCATCTACAACTCACAGCATCCTTGAATTACCTGAACAGGTAAATCAGATATAAAACCTACTGTGTCACTGAGAAGCACTTTTTTCCTGCAGAATTAACATTTAATTAAACCACCTAATTGCAGTTTGATTTGGTCATCTAGATGAGGAATGGCGACGCAAACAATTTATTTGCTGCCAGAAAATGCCAGAAGCAATGGAGAGAATCTCACTCGCAGAATCCTCACCCTGAAGGAAGAATAACGCTTCTTAGACGAGGGTCTACAGTAGCAAATAATCTGCATAATATCCATTGCAATCAATAAAATTAGCAAGGCACCATAGCAAATGAAGGGACATGGAGATCTTCAAATTCAACAAACGTCAAAGGTCAAAGTTTGGAAGTGTGTACCGGTCATCACTGTACAGATCAGTATTTGAAAGAGCACTAACTAAAGTTGACTTCCCCTGAATCATCATACCAAACATATCGGTATGGGTCCGGGAAATAAATGAGGAAAGAATAAAATAGCATCAAAATGTTCAGAACCATTGGTAACCAAAATATAAATGGCAACCAAAATATAAACATAAACGGGCATTAGGAAGCTTAAAATCTCACTGCTCCAATCATACAATGAATATAACAGATTCCAAGCAACACCATCTGTGTTAAGATTGTAAGACCAAAACAATCAATACATCCATGAGACTCAACAAATTCTCACTGCTTTGCAATCACAAGGCGTCATTAATGTTGAATGTGCTACCTCAAAATGAAATAAAAATACCCCCAGATTCTTCCATAGAGTATGTCACTTAGCATGAACATCATAAAATACACATAGAAAACCTTATAGACAAATAACATAAGTCACATGCATCTGAAATATAGACATATAACCAACTATAGAAGTGAAGCACTAAATAAGATGTCGTTAAGAGGACTGATGACTGAAAGGAGAACTAGAGGCACTCAAAGATTGCACGGCACAATAAAAAAACAGAATTCCATAACAATTGATGGTGTATTAATATAGAATCTCTGATCACCGACAATACAGCTATGTTTCCCAATTCAACATTCTAAGAAGAACTGCTTCACTTAGGCAGCATTACTCTTGCACTATTCCCCTTACATTACCCAGGAAAAATGACAGTCCACAATGTACTGGAAATACAAGCTCAAGGGTCTCGGCACTCCACTCTATATATCTTCCCTAAATATGACAGAAACAGTATTTTCCTAGCCAACTACAGGGCCAAACCCCTCAGATGACCTACTTAGAGACTGAAAAACTGCCTGCGAAAGAGGTTCTTCATTAAGGCACTACCCCATTGGCCCATTCCAATCTAGAAAATTTTAGGAAGTTCAAAATTCCCAATACGATATCATAGCAAAAAGTAAATAAATAATCATTTGACCAGAGGCATGCAATTTTATTTTATTTTTGAAATGTCAGGGGCATGCAATTTTTGAATTCCAAGCAGCCAATATCATGATTTGAAGTTGCATCTTGGGATTACAAGTAACTTTTCACAAATAGGTGCAATAAAATCTAGAAATTAGCCCCCAGAAATAGAATTATTGCACTTGCAAAAAACGACCACCTTCCAATCCAGAATCACATACAGCATTTGTATACCCAACAACAGCCACAGTAGGAAGCCCTTGTCCTTGTAACCCACCCCGCCTTTTGCGAGCCGCACGTTGCAATGCTCGTGTACGACGTACATCTTCTATCCGAGATAGGAGACGGTTCCGCCTTTCAAGAATTCTGCATTTCATAGAATCACGTCAGTATTGAGAAAAACGTTCGAGAAGGGAAAATTTATAAGTCATTGAACAAAAGGCAAGTCAGTTTTCACAACGATGTCAAAGACGAACTCTCCTTGAGGGGAGAAATCAAATGTTTTTAGCCAACTGCCACAGATGCAGAATTTTGTCAAGCTGGCAGCGGAGTGCATATATATATGATTACATATTAAAGTGGACTAAAACAATAAATTAATAAAACACTCAGGAATATGAGCACACAAATTTTGTAAATATCTTTACACGTCAATGAAAACATAATTAACATTCAAAAAAAGAAACACACACAAAAAAGTGTAGTAGTCAGGACTAAGTAAAAGGAACACTGGAACATTGTGACCTAGCTGCCCCAGAATCTATGGAATATAAGAAGTCTAACTGCCAGAAATTCTGCAGAAACAAGTTCATGGAGAAAAGCAGGGACTTTTTCTGCATAAACTGGTAAAGGCATAAAAAAGATTCTAAGTCCTGTTTGACCAATGAGAAGTTTCTATCTTGCTTACTATGTCTCATGTAGTGTAGATAGTGACGCAGTTTCTTTAGTTCTCTGGACATAGAATAATCGATTTCCCTTGTTATATAATGAAAAGAATCAAGTAATCATACTTGCATGTCCTTGATCTGCAGCCTAAATGAACTACAGTAAATATAAATTTGGAAGAATAAGAAATTATGGAAGATCTCATTCAAGAGGCATATCTAGCCTCATGATATAGAAGATCGCATATTGGTAATACAGTTAGCTCACAGAATGATCTCACTCTTATAAGCCTACTCATGTAGTCATTCTTTTTGCCAGTATCATAAGTTCAACTTGGTAGTACCTTTCTTTAATATTTCAGAACAGCTCATATAAAAAAATAAAAGCTCACAGAATAAGAATAATTTTGTTAAGATAATACCAGAGTTAGAGAGTCATAACATGCTTAAATTCAGTGTTTCAACTACTAAAACTTGCTGGTACGTTACTTCCACAAAAGGGATCAACCAAAACAAATTACATGAGAAAAAACTAGCAAACCTCCGTCGCTGAAGTTGAAGTTCAGTCTCTCCAGCCCCACTCATGAAACCCTGTCCCCCACTTCCTCTCCTGCAAGAAAGGGATTTCTATCAGAATTGGTAGTCTGACGATAATTAATATATGAATATGGAAATCCAATAAAAAGGAGATGTTTTATGAGGACAGGAAATCGACCCCATACCAACACCATAGGATGTGTAGTATTTAAAGCAAACCCACAGCCAAAGTTGTAGTCCTTTAGAGGGTGACTGCATTTTATTTTATTTTTTGAAACTGTTAGATTGTTCTATTCTATGTAGAGTAAAGAAAAGAACAAGTAAAGCTCTATACAAAAAGTAAACATCACACAATTGCGAAACAGTGAGTCAGTACTCGATTTTCTTAACTACATGGTTTCTGAGTTTTCTGGCCCAGTAAAGCATGAACAGATTGTGGCAAGAGAAGAATTTTTTCAATTGAAATGTTGTTCTTTCAAAAGACAAGACCTTGAGAAACATTTTGCTGAAATGGACAAAAGATGTCATAAGATTGGTGGAATTGATGATGTCAATCTAAAACAATTTTATCTTGAATCCATACACCCAACTCTAGGCAAGGAGGCCATGAAAACAATGGAAAATCAAGGGCTTACAATTCAAAACACCACTTTTGGTGAACTATATCAATATTGTCTTCATGCTCTGGAAAGGCTTTGCAATCAAGTTGATTTTGTCAAAGAAATGGAAAAGAACAAACATTTGTTAGGAAAATCTTGTGAGAAACCTTATCTCAAAATCAATTGTAATTCAGAAAAGCTCTGTCAATGTCCAAAATCTCAGAAAGAGGACAAGTCCTTTAAACAAAAGAGGCACAAAAAAAAATTTAAGAAATTTAAGTTTCTTCGAAGATCAAGATTTCGAGATCTAGGCACAAGAAAGGAAATAGATGTTTTGTTTGTGGACAGAAAGGACATTTTGCAAAAAATTGTCCTAATCAAAAGAAAAAGAAAAAGATCATTCATCTCCTTTCACAAGTAATGAATGAAGAAATAGAAGATGATTTAGAATCAGTTTTTCCTTAGATGATGAGCAGTCCTCAGAAACATTATTGTCTATAGCATATTATTCAGAAGAAAACGAAGTTAATGAAATATGCAAAACAAGCTCCTCTGAGATCTTGTTACCACAGGAAAATGAGACAGATATAGCCAGTTTACCCTTGCAGCCCTCACCAATAGCCATGGTTCAAATACCGCCAGAACATTGTGCTAAACCAATGTCAATCACTGCCTTTTTTGATACATGCGCATCTGCTAGTATTTTAAAACCAGATTTACTGGCAAAGCAATTTTGGGAACCATGCCACCAAACCTTTAGAGCTGCTAATGGAGAAAAGTTTACCATAAACCAGATCAGCAAACCCATTTTGATTAAACTTTTCCCCAAACTTGTAATCCAGCACAAACTGTTAGGAGCCTATTTACCCAACAAAGAACTTTTGCTTGGATTTGATGTTCTTCACCAAGTAAAACTCCAATGGACCTACAAGGGACTACACTACAAATCCTTGACTCTACCCTGGATTGCATCCATAGACCAGACACCAAGCCTTGAAACTGTTAGACAAAAAAATTTAACAGATTGTTGTGCTAATTCCCATACTGAGTTTCTCAAAAAATGTACAAATCCTCTTTGGAGAAACCAGAACTTTTATGTCAAATTACCTTTTAAGAAGAATGAGGATATAAACCCTACAAAAGCTTCACATAGAGGTTTAAATCCAGACCTTTTGGAACAAGCAAAACTGGAAATCCATGATTTGATAAAGGAACAATTAATTGAACCTATAAGTTCACCTTGGGCTTGTGAAGCCTTTTATGTAAATAGAAGAGCAGAACAAATTCGAGGAAAACTCAGATTGGTCATCAATTATCAACCCTTGAATGATTTTCTTGCTAATGACAAATTTCCTCTACCAAACAAAACAGCAATGTTTTCTCAAATTTCTAATGCACACATATTTTCTAAATTTGATTTAAAATCAGGATTTTGGCAATTCACCCAGATGACCGTCCTAAAATAGTTTTTTGTCTACCAAATTATCACTTTCAATGGACAGTCATGCCTTTTGGTTTGAAAAATGCTCCAACATATTTTCAAAAAGTTTTAAGCCACAATTTTTAACCAATTTCAAAACAAGCTCCGGTATACATAGATGACATACTCCTCTTCTCTTTAGACCTACAAAGTCATATCATATTATTAGAAAAGTTCTATTCCATTTGTTGTGAATATGGAATCATACTCTCTGAAAAAAAATGTGTCTTTGCTACTACAAATATTTATTTTCTTGGTATGCATTTCCAGAATGGAATGTACAAACTACAGACTCATGTAGCAAAACATTTGTTAGAGTTTCCTAATGTTCTTCCCACTGTAAAACAAATCCAGCAGTTTTTAGGCATTGTAAATTATATGTCCTGTTTCATTCATAAGCCTTCTCTCTTCACCAACCCTCTTTATCTTCTTCTAAAGAAAAAGGCACCGCCATGGACAGACAAACAGACTGAGTCTATTCTGAAGCTCAAAGATTTATCCCAAAATCTCCCCCCCTTAAAAATTCCTTCTGATGGAAAAAGGATTTTACAAACCGATGCTTCAGATGAATTTTGGGCATGCATTTTGATTGAAGAAAAAGAGAAAACAAGAATGATTTGTGGATACAAAGGCGGAAAGTATAAGGAATCTGAACAACATTATCACTCTACATTCAAAGAAATTCTAGCAGTAAAAAGACGAATTGAAAAGTTCTAGTTTCATCTTATAGGCCATTCGTTTTTTGTACAGATGGATATGTCAAGTTTTCCGAATATGTTAAAATTCAAAAACAAGATTCTTCCCAACCATCAGTTACTCAGATGGGCAAATTGGTTTTCTCAATGAAACTTTGCAGCCAAACATATTCTTGGAAAAAACAATGTTTTTAGCTAACATGTTCTCAAGAAAAAAAATTGAAGAAAACTCTTTCCAAATTATCCCATTTTTGGGATCCATAATCAGAATTGAAGAAGAAAAACCAAGAGAAGTTCCTGAAGAAATTTAGACATCATTCTCAACAAAACAATGGAAGCACGTAATGAATTCATGCAACAAAAAATGCATAAAATTCTGATCAGGAATCATGGAGAATGTTTTCAAGGAATTCGATGCCATCCAAAATACCCGTTTTTATCTTTATTCCAAATCAGACATTACTATAACATGCCTAAAGAAGCTCTTTGTTTCTTTTGGTACCTTACCCAAAACCACCATATCTGCTTCAATTTTCATGTTAGGAAATTACTGTCTTATCTAAAGCATTGTCATTTCTTGCAATGGAATAACTATATCCATCCAAACCCAAGAGCTTTCAACTTCTATAAATTCCTTTTAAAACATTACCATTATGATCAATGGACACAATCTTTTGATTATTATCACAAACCCTATCTCATCATAGCCTTCCATCTAGATCTGCAACCGCAACGTTTTCCAGAACATACCTTCATTACCCAATATCCCCATATCCAAACCATTGGATGGTATGATTCTAATCTCCTAAATTATTGGATGTTCCAGACAGACCAATGGAAAGAATTAAAAATTCTTATGTGCTACATTAACAGCGTCAAGCCAGAATGGATTCCTTTGGATATCTTTGCAGGAATCACAGTATGAAACGATGAAACTCCCCTTAGTGCTGCCCTTCTCCACCAACTACACCTCTGGTTAGCTGACCATCCTCCTCCTGAAGGATAGAGGGACACTGGTTCCAGTGACGACTCTTACATTGGACCCTCTCACAGTCCCTCAAGTCATTCCTCACCAAGCTACGACTCTGATGGACTACCACTAGCCTATGACACAGACTGAAGGATAAGGATGATGTCTTCTCAAGCTTTCCACCTGTCAAAAGACCTGTCTTTTCGTAAAGCTGTCTCTACTTTTTCAAAAGATGTCACTATATCAGATGTCACTATTCCCACTACCAGTTGTCGAGCACTGTAACCACTCAAGCATTGTACCCAGATGCTGTCACTATTCCCACTACCAGTTGTCGAGCACTGTACCCACTCAAGCACTATACCCACTTTACACTGTACCCACTTGTACACTGTATCTACCAGCTGTCTAGCACTGTATTACTTTTTACTGTATCCATATGGATCCACGTGACCATGTTTGCCGGGTGTTCTTTTCACTTTGAAGTCCGAATTTGAGATCCGTCGCCTATATAAGGCCTCTTAGTGTGTGTTTTAAGGCAGGAGCTTCTTGGAGCCTCTCAGCCTAGTCAGTCATCGTGTGCTTTTCTTATGACTTATTTATGCTTTGGTGTGCTATTGTACTATCAACCTCTTTGTAAATTCCTCCATTTCAGGTATTTTATACTATGTCTCTCTTTATAAACAAGGCTTTGTTTTCTTGTTCTGGGGAAAGAGGAGTAACCATGTCAAAGGCATGGTTCTGTAATCTATACACCATTTGGTAATGGAGTGTAGCTACAATGGCTGTTTCAATTTGTCTGGTGCATGTGATTTGCAATTTAACTTTAAAGGCTGAACTTAGGTGAGGGTTCTCTGATGGGGATATTGAAATTTGGGAAGAAGGTAACAAAAATAGTTCCGACATTTAGGGTTGTTTGCACAGTTCCAATACATGCATGCTGGTATTTTAGAAACCTAGAATCTAACAAAGCAATTCGGGAGACTGCTTCCATTCTTTTCTTCCATGGAAAGTTAAAGCAAGCTTAATGGCTCCAAAGTGAACATGTGTATAACCTTCCTTGATCCATTGGGGAAATAGGTTGTTGGGTAGGGTTATGGTAATATATTGTTCAATTTGGGTGGCTGGTATTTGGTGTTGGTCAAACTTGGATAAATTCTTTTATAGCCTCAGGGGTTTTTTTCCACACAATTTTTTGATCCTTTGAGTCCAATTTAAATTGGATTTATCATAGACATGATAAGGATTTATCAGTTGGGATTTTGTTTCTGAAAATTTTTCTGGAGTATAAGTAATTTCAAAAAGATGGTCTTGTTTTGAAAATATAGGGCTGAAATCAAGACTAGTAGAAGGACCACTATTTAAAGAAGTTTTAGTAATAGCATCCTCTGCCATTAAAATGTTGTTATTATTTTGACTATGATTTTTGAAAGGATAGAAGGTAAGGCCAGTTTTCTTTTTTGTTAACAAAGTATGATCCCTAAAGGCGTTAAGGCCTATTACAGGGTTCCTGTTATGTTAACTTTAGAAAACATTGACAGTGGTATAATCAAACACTCTTGAAATTAACCTTAAGTACATACCATGTTTTTTGATGCGAGAGATCCTAGACCGGCTAGGCAGACGCAGAGCATACTAATCTCAGTATGGACAGAATGTTAACCCTTCAAAATAGTAACATTAATCAAAGGTGATTGGGTTGTGTGGTGAAGCACCACAACCATTTTCCTAGTAAGGCTATGATACACTTTCTGAGATTCACATATTGAAACCCCCACTTGATTCGGCAAGGGTGATGGTGTTCCACACAACCAGGTAGATTACAATAGTCTGAGCCAGACCATAAGAAGTCCCTCATGATCGTCTCAAGGTATACGGCTATGGACACGGGTATGGAAGAGGGACATTTGATAGATTGGGAAATTGGAGAGAGTGGCTTTTGTAGGAGCGACATGGGCTGCCTGGCAGAGAAATCTGCCCGTCCAAGCCTCGAGCTTACATTCAAACATTTTTACAATGAGGGCCCCCAGTTGCTTTCAGAGTTTGCCAATTAATAAAGGGAGACTGAGGTACTTCATGGGAAGGCCATCTACGCCACACCCCAATCTGCTTGCCAAGTCTAACATGGCTTGGTGATCGGAGGCTACTCCCGTTAGTTAGGGTTTAGCCAAGTTTACCTTGAAGCAACTAGCCAACTCAAGGCATTTTAGGAAGAGCCACAGAGTGTCCATCTGATCTTACGAGGCACCGCAGAAGATGAGTACATCATCAGCATATTGAAGATGAGTTATCTGTGTGGCGTGTAACTTTGAAGACTTCAAGGAGACCGCTCTGAAAGAGCTTGGTTTCATGACTTGAAACAACCACCATGCTCCAATTCTAGCAGCTAGAGGACTTATAGCCCCAGGGAATAAAAGCAGAGAAAAATAAATAGTGTATTCTTACCCTCGAGCACTTACAACCTCAGCTTCCCCACTTGCTCCAAATGTAAGACGGCCATCAGAGCCCCGTACACGAACGAGTCTACTCTTCTTGTACATCAAGGATGCCAATTCTGACTGATGTCATGAAAAATCACCAAGAACATTATATGAGACACCAAAAATTAGTGCTTATTTCCTCAATAAACCAATCAAATGTAACCTCATAACTAAGAACAATTCTACCAAATGAAAGCATTGAATATCAAGTAAATATGGTTTTACAGAGTTTTTTAAACCACAGTACTCAAAATACCTGCAGTTTAGCTTCCTTGGTTTGTGCATGGGCATTGAATATTTCAATTATAAGTCCCACACGGTCCAAAACCGGTTTGCCCCAATCCCGCTGCACATATGTCATAGGACATAAAAAACACGTAAACCAACAGCTAGCATAATCAACGTAAGTTGTAAAAGAAATTAATACAGACAAGAGGCTTCAAGCTGGAAGTCTAACTAATATTACAGAGAAAACCACATTCCATGAAGAACTTGCCTCCAGATTACGCTGCTGAATCCCTGAAAGGATGGCATTCACAAAAATAGCATCTACTTCTTCCTGTAAACATCACAAGATTCACCATCGTTGGTAAAACAAATATATGATAATATTTCCAGTTATTTTGGTATCTTATTCTCAAAATGACAAAATATGCTAAATTTGAAGATGGATGGGATATGTTAGAGAGCATTTTTAATACAATGGTGAACAAAAACCAAAAGGAAGGGCCTGTTAAGCATGAAAGATAAAGAACTACTTTTTTATTTGTAAGGAAGGCCAGTTTCCATCGCTCAAGGAAGATAAATTTATGTATTTCTTTGGTAGATAAGCAAGTTATGTGCATAGGTGAGTTGACAAAATCTAGATCATGAACCAAATGGATGTCGAAGAGCATTAAATTTGATGGACACAAGGATCATAGTCATACTCCTATAGAGACTTGAGGAATAGTGGGAGAGCATAATGGAAGATCAAATCCCACATATCGACAACATCACAACAGTTCATCAATAAAAATAACAAATTAAAAAAATAACATCACATACTGGATATAGCAGTGAAAATCCTAAAACCCAGCTGGAAGGGAATATGGCTCATGATATCCCTCTACACGCCTTGTACTTTGACATAGAGGATTCATGAACCTAGATTCGTATTTATCAGATGTTGCCGCATTAACGCATTACGTGGCCGCATCAAAGTGGTGTGACTGTTGGCAGCACCGCCCACCTATGCAGGATAGCCAGATGTACCCGCATAGATGGATAATCACCTGCATATGCAGGTGCAACACACAATGTGATGCGCCCGCATATGTGGCCCTTGCTCATGAGTGAAAATATGAGGAAAGACTGTAATTCCCGTACAACAGAGGGGGGCAGGGTTTGGGGGTATACAACCACAAACGCACTTACCCCCCCACACAAAAACAAAAAAAGAAAAAAAAACAGCTACAAAAAAAGAAAAAAGGAGCCCTCTAGAACTGATGGATTAAACTGGGAGCAATGGTGCACATTATGCAGCTCAAGGCAACTATGCAAGAAAGTACAATCCCTGATAAACATTGTTGCAGCTACTCACCAGATCAGAGATTTATCGAGAAGACAAAGGATCCCATGAGGGAAATGAATTTTAGGACACAACCTCATACTCTTGAATCGCCTCAAAGGAGATTGAAAGAATCGACCATGCAAGAGGCAATCTTGGTATGATGTTGGGCATCACGGGCTTGCATTATGACGCTCTGGTCAATGATATAATAGATGTATTTTCAAGTAAATGCAGCAAGGACGAGGAAGGAGAGCAGTGGCAAAGATGCAAAACCGAAGAATAAATGCAATCGACAACTCAAGAACCTCGCTTTTACCATCAACCATAATAGAGCTGCCCACCAATGCTACCAGAACAAATCTTTGAAATGAATATGCTAAACCTGCAGTCATTAAAAATGCTTGGAGAAGGGATCCCGTAAAATGGTGCATCTTGTGTCTAAGGGGGATGTGATTAGGGATTGGTCAATCCTCATACAATTTCAATGGGTACACTTTCTCAGCATCTACTGTCTTCAGAACCAATGCAGATGGATTTCGTTGGTAATTTTTGTCGGTGTATGGACCAAACATGCCAAACCTCAGAGAAAGCTTCTGGGCAAAGTTGGAAGCAGTGAATGATAGATATGTTTCTCACAATGTTTGGGAGGTGATTTTCATGTCCCCAGTTAATCCTTTGAAAATACCAAAAGAGAGCTGATTACTAAAAAAAAAAATGGAAGATTTCTCAGGATTCCTACAGAGACAAGAACTGATGGAGATCCCTCTAACTGGTGCAAAATTACTTGGCCTAACCACTCTGCCTCCTTGACCCTTATGAGACTAGATTGCTTCTCTATTTCTCCTGATTAAAAGCTCAATACGCAGCAGTCATATATCCTCAGCCCTCTCCAAACCCACCCCCCGACTATCTGCCCATTCTTCAGGATACTCAACCTGCTAGGGTGATACCTAAACCATTTCAGTTTGAATTCATAGACAAGCAATTACCAAGCTTATCAAGGATCGGTGGGCACAATTCCAGTCCAAGGATGGGCACGTTTTAAGCTCTGTAGATAGCAACAGCTTCTCAAATCAAAGCTTAAAGCCTCGAGCATAGAGTCTGTTGACCTCTCGGAGGATTAGAAAACTGCATACTCTCCAAGATCGTGGAGTTCGATCACACAAAGGAAGATAGGAACTTATTAGATGCTGAGCTTAAATGCCATACTCAGCAAAGACAAACTTCTAGAAGTTGCTAAAATGTAAGGAGGTTACTAGTATCAGCATCCCAAATCAAGTGGCTCAAGGCGGGAGACCTAGATACCACTTTCTTTCACCGCAATGCCAATTCTAGGAGGTGAATCAAGTCGATCACAACCTTCAAGATGAAAGGCAAAGTGATTGATGATGAGTTAGGGGTCTCAGGTACAATCTTTTTAAGGACCTTTTCTGATGATGACTTAGGGGTTTCAGGTGCAATCTTTGTAAGGACCTTTTCACTTCCAAACCTGGACGAACACCAATATTCCATGAGGAATAGTTATCAAATTTCTGGAACATCAGCCTCATGGCTATAAAGGCTTTTTAACTTTGAAGAAATCAAAGAGGCAGCCTATGACTTGACCAGGATATGGTGACCTGACCAAATAACTTACCAGTAGCCCTATTTCAAATATTATGGGAGGAAATGCAAAAGGACATCCTCAAGTTGTTCCTAGAGTTCAACGAACACAGCATAACCCGCAAAGCCATGAACTCCTCTCTCATAGCTTTAATCCCGAAGGCCAAGGGTGCTGAGGCTGTTGCCGATTTTCATCCAATTATCCTCCTTAATAGTACCTACAAGAATGTTGCTAGAGGTTTAGCATCAAGATTACACGAGGTATAACACCAAGTTATATCACCATCCCAAGGAGGTCTTGTCAAGGGGATTCAAATCCTTGGCAGGGCTCCAATAGCCCATGAGAGAATAGATTACCTTCATAAATCAAAATACAAAGGTCTGACATCCAAGCTTGATTTGGAGAAGGCCTCTGACCATGTTGATTGATCATTCCTCATAGACATCATGACAAAGATGTGCTTAGCGCCAAAATTCAGAAAATGGATTAAGGGATGCATATCCTTGGTGCATTTTTCTGTTTTAATCAACAAGGTTCCTGGTGGTTACCTCCCTAGCACAAGAGGCTTAAGGCAATCCGACCCATTGCCCCCCTTTTTATTTCCAATCATTGCAGAAGCACTTAGTAGGAGCCCTGATCACAACCACTCCCAATGTTTACTCTCAATTGTACCGATCTCAAGAAACGGTAAGAGAATTTCCCATCACAACTACTCCCAAGATTTACTTGTTAGTTGGTAAGTATTGTGAAAGAATTTCTGGGTGCTTTGGCAGTCAATTTATTGACCTAGTAGAAGGAAGAGGCTCACGATAAAGCCCACTCCTAATTCTCATTCTTCTAATCGGAATTCTCCACCTTAAGGCATGACAACGAACATCAATGGAAATTCTTTCTGCAAACTGGGCCCAGATGGATGCAAAGGTGCATTTGGAGATCATAGAGGTCTTTTTTAGTGTCTTACTCAGGATATGCTGGCATCTGTGAATTGTCGTGCAACAATAGCTGAAGCTCGTGCACTTCTCAATGGATATAGGCTTTACAATACTGATGGGGGCCCACTACAAATCGAAGGGAACCAAGAGAACACGATTCTTTGGGCACCCCAGAAAGCTAGCCACCCTTGGCACCCCAACAACATTTTCGTCAAAATTTTTGATAGACAGGAGGTGCTTCATCCTTTGCTCATATCTGGTGGGAATGAAATCAGCAAGCAGACTTCCTTGTTCGGGAAGGATAAACTAGAAACTCCACTGTTGTGGTTGTCAACAATATTAAACAGTGCACATAATTTTAAAGATCATAGCATAACAAAGTATAGAGCCACTTGAGATATTACAGTTTTGTAAATATTACATTAATTAATGAAAGCTAGTTAACCTTCAAAAAAAGAAATTCACAAATGATGAGCAATATGAAAACCCATGATCAAGATAACAGTGGTACATGTGAAAATACATAATACAACTTTCTTGAGCACTGGTGCCTCTGCAAGAGAAAAACACACATGAGGAGCAGACCTATTCAGATATATAGGAACCATATAAACATAATTCACTTAGTTCCACTCCAAGAAAGCAGAAGCTTGAACCAGGTTTCCACTATGTTTACTTTAAAGAGAATGCCCAATACATATGCTCTACGAGAATGGTAAACCAGCTTTTCAAACAGCACCAGCTGAATATTCATCGCATATGTTTTGTTTTTCTAATGAATTATTTTGCTAGTTAAGAAACAAAGGATAGTTTTCAGAAATATTTGAAACATTAGAGCCTCTTTTCCTTCACTAGTTAAAAATGTAACATCTACGGGCATAGCTAATCCTTTCAAATTCTATGGTTACAAGTTACAACTCACAATTAATCTAAATAGAAGTACATCATTGTCTATCAACTTCATCAAAAGATCCAACGCATTATCAAAGTACAATTGTTAGTCTTATAACAAATTTTTACTGAAATTCTCATAAGAAACAAAATATTGCTCAATTAAATGTGTGGGATTTATGTTCCATGAAATTATCCATCATATCACAAAAGCACTCACTTGCCTTGGAATCCAATGCATTTAAGTGGCATTTAATGTTATCCACCGTACCAGCTCCGAAGTATGTATCTGCCATAGATACCATCAACAAACCCATACAATCATTTCCAAACACCCCAAATTAAAGAAGGGAAGATTTTTTTTTTACAACATTTGGGTTTCCTAGCATCACCTCGATGAAAGGTGCAACAAGCGGTCCTCGGGGTGAATCGAATCTCCTCTCAAAGTTCTTCAAAAAAATTGAAGAACTTTGAGTGGAGCAATGACACAACCCAACCATCTGCAGTTCACATCAAATGGTTGCGGAAATGCTAGAAGATTGTACGAAACCAGGTACTAGCATTTTATCCAAACCCATAAAAAATTTCAAAAAAATAAAAATTGAGATCAAAATATTAAAATTTAGAGCAAAGAATCAATATCAAATGTTAGCAAAGCAACATTTTTTAAGCATCTTTGTCACAATCAAATTTCCAACTACAAAATCCACAGTCCAATATCCAAATCAAACAAAAAATGAAAAGTTCCATCTGATAACCAAAATTCTTCTTCAAAATACAACAAACAAAGCTAGTAAAATCAAAGCCAACCAGCATGGGTCTTCAACGATCTAGCAACCGGGTTCTGAACAACTAAATGAGGGGGCATCTCTTTAGAGCTTGGCTCATTGTACAAAACACCTTCTCTCTGTTCTTCCAAAGAATTCGCCAAATTCAAAGCTTCAGAAAGCTTCGACTGCAACAGAGAATCAGGCCTAATTCGAGGTTGAACAACAAAGAGCCTAGGTGCCTTGGTCAAGTCCCTGTGGATTATGAATCGCTCATTAGCGTCATCGTCATCAATCTCTGGAGAAGACTGGCCATAATGAGAACCACGGTGAGAAGTTAGGGTTGAAGAAAGTGAGAAAGCGCAAAATGGTGGAATACCCGAACTTCTGATAAAATGGGTCGATCTTGACTGTAAATAAGGGTTTGGGAGAATTAGCGCCTTGCAAAAGGGGAACTCGGGAGAAGAAACTAGGGTTTCTGGCAGTGAAGAGGATTTGAATGATGGAGTTCGTGGTTTTATGAAGAAATGGCTGTTGATTGATTGAGAAGTAGGGTTTTGGAGAATTAGAGTTTTGGAAGAAGAAATTTTGCAATGAAGCATGGAGCTGAGCGTAGGGCGCAAAGCAGAGCGACATCTGAACATTGCAGCTGCTCCGAAACGAGCTCAAAACTGCGTGTCTAAGCATTCGATTTTGAGCACTCCCACTCTGTTTTTATGGAGACGGGCATTTTATCGCGATACGATTTGTGGGGAATTTAACACGCGGGATTTCTTGGGCCAGCCAAGTTAGAAACTGTAACACAAAAACTCGGCCCGATTAAAAATGTGCTTAGTACCGGCCCGTTCCAGTTTCATTAAAAAGCTCTTTCGTTTTTTTTTTGTGAAAGTATCTCATTATCCCTTTTGTTTAACTTTGTACTCCTTTAACAATTAATTTTTTATTCAAAAAAATTACTAAAATGGCATCCTCTCAATAATTATTTTTTTCCTATAATTTCAGTGTCTATATCTCAAAGCATCATCTCTTTCTCTCTCTCAAATCATTATCTCTCTTTCAAAACTCCATCTCTCTCTAACACTCAAAGTACAAATAAGTTCTCCTTTCTACATCATTTTTCTCTCCTCTCCTCTCTCTTATCTCTCTAAAAACAATACGTCTCTATCTAGCCCCTTTTGCAGCCCCAATATACCACAAATTCTCTCTAAAAACCTACAAATCTGAAACCATATTGCTATGCAGCCCCAATATACCACAAATTCTCTCTAAAAACCTATAAATCTGAAACCATATTGCTATGCGGCCCCAACCCACCGATCATTTGGAAACATATTCGCAGTGATGTTGTAAAGGTCATTATTTTTGCTTTCAAGGTGCCACACGTTCATTTTGGGGAAAAAGATTTAACTTAAAAATGAAAAACATTCAAAACTATTCTCAAGAAGTATTTATGTAGGTAGCTACGATAACTCCAAAGCGTTGGGCAACTTCAATATTAGGGGAAAGCGGTATGGACAAGTTACAACCACTGTAGCAGAATGATCGGTGGTTTGAGGCTGCAACAAGGCTTCAAATCTATGGGCTTTTGCGAGAGAACTTAGGATATGTTGGGGGCTATAAAAGGGGCTAGACAAAAACATTGTAGTGTTTTGAGATAGAGAGATAATGTAGATAGGGGAACTTTCTATATCAATTTGGGTATTTGAGAGAGCGGGAATGAATGTACCATGTTTGAGGCTTGATTTTGTAACTTCCAAATGATCCTTGGGTTGGTGCTACAACATGGCAATAGGTCTTCAAATCCATGTGCTTTTTTAGAGAGAATTTGTGGTATATTAAGGGCTGCAAAAGGGGCTCAACAGAGATGTAGTGTTTTTAGAGAGAGAGAGAGATGATACAGAGATGAGAGCTTCTATGCATCTTTGGGTATTAAAGAGAGATGGAGTTTTGAGAGAGAAAAAGACAGAAATAGATGTTGAAATTAATCGAAAAAAAAACGAGTTTTTTAGATGATGTTATTTTAGTATTTCTTTGGTTCAAAAAATACACGGTCAAAAGGGTCTAGAGGATTGGAAAATAAAAAAGATAGAGACCCATTACAAGTAATATTTTAAAGGGAAAAATATCTCCATACCCCACATTTTTAAGGTTTATATATTAATAGACTCAAAGTTTCAAAACATATATTGAGTCATAAAAATGCTAAGTTTATAGCCTTTAACCCTCTAAGCTAACTTTATCCCCTTTAAACATATTTTTTTATCCCAAACAAATATAAGAAAAACATATCATTTATAAACATCATCATTTCTCTCATGTCACGCGATCTTCTCTTAAATCTCTCTCTACCTATTTTCCCACTCTCTCTCCCATGTCTCTCACTCTCTCTCTCCCCCATTAAAGAGACAAAGAGGATGAATGTTAGAGAGAGTAAAATTTGGGGGAATATATCACGTAAAGATATAGGATTTAAAATGAGCATATCTTTTTTATATTTGTTATGGCTAAAAAATAATTAAAAAAGGGTAAAGTTAGTCAGGGGGTTAGGAGATATATTTTAAATATTTGGTCTATTGAGATATAAAACCAAAAATATGGAGTATAATGATATTTTTCATACTTTAAATCATTGGGTCTCGTGAGAAATAGATGCTAAAAATAAAGGATAAAGAGATATTTTCCCTTTTTTTTAAAATTTTTCTCTTAAGCTTTTCTTATTTGTAATAAGCCAAAAAAAAATATACGTTCATAAAAACTTTTTCTTGGGTTTTTAGAGAGAAAAAGAAATGTTAAGTTTCGAGAGAGAAACTAGGTTTTTAGTGAGAGATTGAGTTTCTATAGAGAGAAGAAAGAGATATTGGATTTCTAGATAGATAAAGTTAAATTGGGTTTTTAGAGAAAGGGGTTTTAAAGAGATAGATATTGGGTTTTTAAAAAGAGAAATAGGTATTGGGATTCTAGAGAGAGAATGAGTTTTTAGAAATAGAAAGAAAAATTGGGTTTTTAGAGAGTGTCTGGGTTTTAGAGATAGAAAGAGATATTGGGTTTCTAGAGAGAGTAGATTTTTAGAAAAGCTAGAAAGGTTGGGTATCTAGAGAGATAATGGGTTTTTAGAAAAAGAGATATTGGGATTCTAGAGAAAGAGATAATGGGTTTTTAGAAAGAGAAAGAAAAATTGGGTTTCTAGAGAGTGTGTGGGTTTTAGAGAGAGAGAGAGATATTGGGTTTCTAGAGAGAATAGATTTTTAGAAAAAGCAAGAAATGTTGGGTATCTAGAGAGAGAAGGGATTTTTAGAGAAAGAGATTGAGTTTTTAGGGAGAGAAAATGGGGTTTTAGAGGGAGAAAGAGAGATTAGGTAACTAGAGAGATTGGGTTTTCTAGAGAGAGATTGGGTTTTTAGAGAGAGGAAGAGAGAATGGATTTTAGAGAGAAAATATATTTTTAAATAGAGAGAAAAAGAATGGATTTTTAGAAAGAGAAAGAGAGATTAGTTTTTTAGAGAAAAAGAAAAATTGGGTTTCTAGAGAGAGATAGATTAGGTTTTTAGAGAGAGCAAGCGAGATTGGGTTTCTAGATAGAGAATGGATTTTTAGAAATAGAGACATTGGGTTTTTAGAGAGAGATGGATTTTTAGAGAGCATGAGAATTAGGTTTCTAGAGAGAAAATGGTTTTAGATAAAAGAGATTGGGTTTCTAGAGAGATGGAGAATGAGTTTTTAGAGAGAGAAAGAGAAATTCGGTTTCTAGATAGTGAGAATGGGTTTTTAGAGAGCAAAAGAGGGATTGGGTTTCCAGAGAAAAATTAGATTTTCAATTTTCTAAAAAATATTTTAGCATCTATTTATTTTTATTTTTATGTTTATTTTTGCTTACTACAAACAAAAAAAGTTTGAATAGTGGATATTTTTTTTTAAAAAAAAAAAGGGGGCTTCTAAAGGGGCCATGCTAGGCTTTTATTTGGGCTGGGCCAAAAAGTCGAGGCTTACCAAGCTAGCTAGCCCGGTGACAAGTTTTTAAGCTTTTTTGGGCCGGGCCAGTATTTTGGGTCATTGTGTGCTTCGGGCCGGGCCTTTAACGAGTCAGACAATCAGATGGATGACCTGATTGTGAATTGGCCAGGATAAAACACCCTCTTTCACATTTTTCTTCTCTATTTTTAGGGTGTAATTTGCATAAGGTTGCAACCTTAAATAATTAAATTAATGCACACCTCTAAATTTTATTATAATATGTAATTTTGGTATCAAAAATTCTTAAGATAGCCTAAAAACTATTTTTGGGATTTGAAATCCTTTTTTATATATATTCATACATGTCAATTTTGAGATGATCAATTAGAGGCTTTTTCAACATTAAAACAACCTTTTTCCATGATTTTTTAGATGCATCTTAATTCTCTTTTTAAGGTTACAAACTTATATAGACTTTTTCCTTATTTTTAAGCTTATCTGATGTTTTTCGTTTTCCTCATTAAAAAATCCCACCATATAAAGAATCCAGTTTTGGTGCATCCAGGCCAGTGCATATTATGGTCCGGGCATTGAGATCTATACGTCAACGCATACAACAGTTCAAATGGGCCAAAAATTTGAGATAGATATCCGGGGTACCAGAAGCATTCGTTGCCCTATGAGTTGTCTTTGACTTAGGCAGAAGAACAAAGAAAACTATTATAGAGAAAGAGATTACAATGGTAACCCAAAATGTTGTGGACATGATAGACAATATGGGGTCTGGTGATCATCAAGTATAAGAGTCGACTAATGTGTCATCGACACATAGTAGGATCAAATAGAAGGTCACCATCAGTGGCATCAATTTTGTGGAGTTGTTCCATAGGTATATGAACAAGGTGTGCCCCAAGCAGCCCTAGTTTTTCAATGATTTCCAAGGTGTATTTGTGTTGGGAGATACAGATGCGCTTCTTGGAGTGGGCAACCTCAATTCCAAAAAAATACTTAAGAAGCTAGAGATCTTTCAAGTGGAAATGATGATGGAGGAACTGCTTGAGAGAGGTGATGGCAGCAAGGTGATTGCCAGTGGCAATGACATCGTCTACATACACGAGTATGAGAGTAAACTCATGATGTTTTCAACGTGTGAATAAAGGGTAGTCAGCTTTAGACTGAACAAATCCAGTATCAATGAAGACAGAGGAGAATTTCACAAATCACTGTTGAGAAGCATGTTTAATGCCATTGAGAGATTTGTATAAGCGACACAAATGTTTCTCCCCCTGTTGACAGAATCCTGGTAGAAGAGTCATAAACACTTTTTCATTCAAGTCCCCAATGTAGAAAAGCCTTTTGGACATCACGTGATGCAGGGGCCAGTTTCAATTGGAAGCAATGGCAAGCAAGCATCGTACGATAACTAGCTTTGTAACTGGTGCAAATGTCTCATGGTAATCCATGCCCTCTAGTTGGGTATAACCCTTGGTAACAAGACGTGCTTTATATCGATCAATGGTGCCATCTAACCGATATTTAACTTTGTAGATCCATTTGCAACCATGGGCCAGGAGGCAAAGTAGTGATTGTCTAGATTTTATTTTGCTCAAGTGCTCAGAATTCATTTTACACTATTTCGTATCATTTCAGGTCTTGCACAGCCTAGGAAAAAGAAGTGGTTCTGGAATAAAAGAGACAGCTAAACCACAGCTTTGGTGGGATGGAGATAGATGGTCATAAGAGAAAAATTGAGAGAGTGGATATTGAGTACCTATGGTGGGTC